CAGTGGGATACAAATGGGTTTTTGTGCGGAAAAGAAATGAAAAGGGTGAAGTCGTGAGATATAAAGCACGTCTTGTCGCACAAGGATTCTCACAGAGACCTGGCATTGATTATGAGGAGACATACTCCCCTGTGGTGGATGCGACTACGTTTCGATACTTGATTAGTTTAGCAGTCCGAGAAGGACTAGATCTGCGTCTAATGGATGTTGTGACAGCCTATTTGTATGGATCACTTGAGAATGATATATATATATGAAACTCCCTGAAGGATTCACTTTGCCAGAAGCAAACAAAACACATTCTCGAGAAAAATTTTCTATCAAATTGAACAAATCCTTGTATGGATTGAAACAATCTGGACGAATGTGGTACAATCGTCTCTGTGAATATTTGATGAAAGAAGGATACAAGAATGACCCTATTTGTCCATGTGTTTTTCTAAAGAGATCAGGTAGTGAGTTTATTATAATATCAGTTTATGTTGATGACATAAACATCATTGGAACTCCCGAAGAGCTTCCAAAAGCAGTTGATTGCTTGAAGAAAGAGTTTGAAATGAAAGATTTAGGAAGAACAAAGTTTTGTCTTGGATTACAGATTGAACATTTGAAGGATGGTATTTTTGTGCATCAAGAAGGATATGTTGAAAAGGTGCTTAAGAGATTTTATATGGACAAATCACACCCGTTGAGTAATTCAATGGTTGTAAGATCACTTGATGTGAAAAGAGATCCATTTAGACCTCGAGAAAGTGATGAAGATCTGTTTGGCCCTGAAGTGCCATATCTTAGTGCGATAGGAGCATTAATGTATCTAGCCAGTCATACACGACCCGATATATCGTTTGCTGTGAATATATTGGCAAGATATAGCTCTTCTCCCACTAAAAGACATTGGAATGGAGTTAAACATTTACTCCGTTACCTTCGAGGAACGACAGATATGGGCTTGTTCTATTCGAGTACATCGAAGATGGATTTAGTGGGATATGCAGATGCAGGATATCTCTCAGATCCTCACAATGGTAGATCTCAGACAGGATATTTGTTCACTTGTGGTGGTACAGCCATTTCGTGGCGATCCACAAAACAAACTATAACAGCCACATCATCCAATCATGCTGAAATCCTAGCAATTCACGAGGCAAGTCGTGAATGTGTTTGGTTAAGATATATAATTCGACACATCAGAGAATCGTGTGGACTATCTCTAGGAAAAATGATCCCGACGATCATGTATGAAGATAATGCAGCATGATTGCTCAATTAAAGGAAGGATATATTAAAGGAGATAGAACAAAACATATTCCACCCAAGTTCTTTTCACTCATGATCTTCAAAAGAGTGGTGAAATAATTGTTCAAAAAGTTCGTTCAAGTGAGAATCTAGCAGATATACGCACTGCACTCTTTTTCCCTTAACCATGGTTTTTCCCACTGGGTTTTCCTGGTAAGGTTTTTAATGAGGCAGCATGAGATAGCGTAATAATGCAATCTAGTGGTCATCCAAGGGGGAGTATTATGTAAATATTTATATTTGGATGACCAATGGCCTACCACATTAGATGCTCACATGTAACTCTCATTCCTATATTATTATCTCTAATTCAAATGCATTGATGTAATGGTTACCAAAGGGTGCCTATAAATAGAGCACACTATTGTATCACAAATGGGGTATGAATAAGAAGAACTATTCCCCTCACTTCTCTTGTGTCTTTCCTCCTCCAATCTTCTCTTATAGTTGCTTACATTTCCATTAGTTTCATAACATTAGCTATTATTTTCGAATTTTAAGCTTATAAATGAGAATAGTGACCTATCTTTCATCATTCCAAGAGAATAACCAAAACCTAAAAAATTGAGAAATAAACTAATAATTTATAATTTTATATCCATTAATCTCTTCACTCTTATTAGCCGAGACAACATATATATCAATAGTCATAAAAGCATAGGATCGTTTTACTTTGTATCCCTTGATAATAACAAAATGGATAAGATACAAAACCCACCACTACAACACCATATCTATAACCATACATTTTAATCACACCTAATGGTTCAAATTCATTTAAAAAAATATGGTCAACTCCTCATAAATCCCTTATTTCCCTCTTTACTGTTCTATGATATGGACCGTTAGATCTTTCCTTTCCAATTACAACCATTGGATTAGATTTTGTAGGACTACAAAATCATGGTTTTGTACGGTAACCTGCACCATATTAAGGGAATGGATACATTACAAAATTCACCACTACAATACTCAATCATTTAAAAAAAATTCGTAGAAAGAATACATTAATTATGCTCTACACAATTATATCAACTATGATATATTTTGAGATAAGAAAAAAATGAACTCTTTAAAACACTTGTCAGTTGTAGTATTATCATTGTCATATTTATCATATCATCATGATATGGAATTGACATGATGACTCATTTTCTTTATTTTAACTCATAATTCAAAAAATTGTATAAAAAATACACTAATGAATATCTATACAATGATTATCCATTTTGTTATATTTTGTCAAACACAAGACATCATACCAATATCATATTAGTGTCATATCATGATATGATACATATATGATGTCATCAAATTATTTTAATAAATATAAGACCTCATATCAACACCATATCACTATCATACCAATATCATGTCAACATTATATCATTATCATATCAATATCATACCACTGACTATCGTGATATGGTAGTGGTAAGATGACGTAAAAAATTCTCTAAAACATATCAAAATTGATATCACTCACAGGGTTGGAAATCTCTTTATGTTAGTGTTAGAATTATATATTGTGCAGATAGATAGCTAAAAAAAAATTGTCAAATGTTATTAGAGCTTCTTTAATTTTTTTTTTTTTGTGTGTTCAAGATAGTTTTTTTTTTAGCATGGTAAGCAGCCATGCAAATAGTTGGTCTTAGAAATTATTTTATAATTGCACCGTGATATTTGGGCTTATTGCACCGTTTAGTGAGCTAAATGCCTATATATGAGTTAGGCTTGAGGAGAATATAATAGCCCATGCCTTAATGTGCATGGACTTGGTGAATTATATTGAACATAATGGGTCACAATTATCCAAATTCATATAAATTCATTAATTATGGATTTATGGTTAGTGTATCAGTAAAGTATATACGTATTTGAATATTTGGTAGGGGTAGACTTGGATTGGATATGAGTATTGCTATTATATTATATTTGGGTATGCGTTCACTATTTTTTTTAATAAGGATCGGTTTACCTATTTATAAGGTTATTTAAACAATATATACGAAATTGAACCTATTTGTCTTAAAAAGTTCAGGTATCGAATACTAAGCAGAAAATCTGTAGGTAGCCAATTTTATGCCAAATAGTTAATTTTATGTTACCAAAAAGTTTTTTTTTATATGTATGGTCACAAATCCAAATCTCTTACTAAAAACACGAACCAACCCAAATAAATATATACAGTATAAAATCATTAGACTATATCAATTTACCTTGTATTTGACTTTCGTACCCAACTTAACAGTTAAATAATTAAATACTCGTGATTTTGCAAGATCATTCCTACTCATTTAGTTCCTTGATCCGAAAAATATCACAACCAACCTCATACAATTATTAGTCATACTGCCACTGGTCATTAAGTATTTTTAAATTCATATAAAACTAACTTCTAACTACAGTATATTGCTGGAAAATAAGTATACATTCTGTACTTATATGATTGAGTTTAACAAAAGTGGCATGGGGGAGGTTCCGGAGAAAGTTCCCTTAGGCATTTGTTGTCGCAAGCTTATTTTATTTTGTTTCTTACTTCTGAGTAGTCAGCACACAGCACACACTCCATCTCACCTCAGTTCAATCTTAAGAAGCCCAAAGACCAACAAAAATATAGTCTTGGTCCGCCTCATGGAACGATCTGTGTTTATGTAGTTGAGTATAGTAAAAAGACGGAGAGATCCTTCCGTATTATGCGCTGAGCACGGAAAAATAAAATGGGAGGGGTTTTGGAAGAGAACCTCTTTATATGTTTGTTAGGTTTTGAATGTTTCTCTTGTTTTAACTCGTAATTTAATTTTTTGCACAAATAATATTTATGTCCCTAAAATTTAACTATGGAAATCAATACAATAATTGTCTCTAATTATTTGTTTCTATAGGTTGATTTTCTTGTCGTCGTGACTCCCATAAGAGAATAATTTCATATGGATTGTTTTGGAAAATCTGTATAAATAGTTGTCACCTATTTATGCTATATAAATCAGGCTAAACGTCATTAACGCTATGTCCGGACCTTGTTGGACAAAACGATTTACAATAAGGTCAGCTAAAATGAAAGGAAAATCGGACTATGTGAAAGAGCTTATACGCTTAACCTTAAGCAGGTTCGAAGAGATTTTGGAAATAGCTGAAGGAGGTAGGGGTGGTGGTGGAGTGAAGGTCGAGGGAGGAAGTCGCCAGAGAAAAATGAATTTTTGGTTTTTTTTAATGAACATTTTTTATGATTATTTTAAATGACATGTCAATCATAATTCCACCTCACTCTTCTAATTCATATTATCCGACACATCAGCCCTCAACTTATTGACCATTAATGACCAATGCTCATCTAATTCATATTATCCGACACATCAGCCCTCAACTTATTTTAACTAACAAAACTTGGTGATAAGATCGTCATATCAACTTTTGGTGCTATAAAAGTAGCACTTAGTTCATAATTCAAAGTTTTGCAATGATATTAGCCTTACTAAATAAGATTAGAAAATAATAATAAATAAGAAGAGAAACTTTCATTTTATTCCACCTTGGGTTCCCAATAAAAACAACAAAACAAAGATTTCCAACCTTAGATTAAACCAAACTAATTATTCACACATACCAACTATAAAACCCAACGAAAGAAACTTGCGATCCAATCCAAAATGAACTCGATCATCTATAGTGTGCCACTGTGCCTATAAGAGCTCCTTGTGGTACTAAAGTTTGTCCCTGTAGTGATAACACATTTCGGAACCCGGCACGGCCAGGCACGGTCCGTCTCTCCTTATGGCCCAATGGCAGTACTTGCACACTTCGTCGTCCCTCTGCTGTTTGTAGATGTCGAACCACTTAAGATGGGCTCCGACTTCCCAACGGAAGGCGCAAAAAAACAGAGTATATGTAAAGAAGTGCGGATAGAAGGTCCAGTCGAAACTCTTGCCTGGATCCAACCAGCGCACACCCAGATCGTCATTCGCAGACTTGCAATGCACCAACAACTTTGCCCCACCTTCGATTTGGTTCGATATCACCACCGTCGATTTTGGGAAAAAACTGTTTGCCTCAACCTCGACCAACACCTGGGTTAGTAGTGTTGACAAGAGTAGGAGCCAGACTACCAGAGCACCCCTCTTTTGCCCCATCGTATCCTTTCCTTTTCCAATCTTCTTGTTTCCTTAGATGTGCAATGTTATGGTGATGAAGTGTGAGGATTTGGGGTCCAAATTTATACACGAGGATCAACTACTATGCATGACCAAGGAGGTTGTCGTGGAAAGCTTAAACATTCTATCTACGATAATTTATGCGAGGAACAAGCATTGTAGATGAGAAAAAACCGTCGGCGAAGAATATGGTAATGATGATAAGATGATGAGTAAAAAAAATTGTGAAATATTCAAAGAAGTTTATATATTAATATTTCACTTTTCTAGATTTCCGACATGTAACACTAATTGCTAAAGTTCATGATAAAATTAGTTTATTAAATATAAGTTAGTTGAGGGGCGACTCTGTAGATAAGAATTCTTATCACTATCATTTAATTGATTTAATTTCAAACGTCTATTATTACAAACATATTTAAATTTGTTTATATTTTACAATTGAACATTGTTCTCATTTTATTAAAGAAGCGTAGCGATAATAAACCAAAACCAAAGGCTAGAAACGCCACAGGAATCAACAAGTTTCAGGGAAGATGTTAAGGAACATAACTTTGTACGTAGTTGTATTTTGCTTGGCAGATGAAAATCAAACAAACATCAAAGGGTTATAGGTATAATATGTCCCTCTATTATGACATTTTAGCTAACATGCCCTCTACTATTTTTTACATCAAACATGCCCCTCTATCATGACATTTTAGTTATCAAACATGCCTTTTTGTTGTAATTTTCATCCAAAAATCGTTAACCACTGCAAAACTTTGGTTTGGGCGACACAAATGTCTAAAATATCCATAATAATTTCACTTAGAATTTTTTTGGTTCTTATGTATGGCCAAATAATTCTAATAATTTCACTTTGACGAGACCTATAGAAATAAAATAGGGGTCAAAACTTTTATTTTCCCTCCCATTTGTCGATGTTGGCCTGTTGGGTCGTCTAAATCTAGGTTCAACCATGATTGATGATTTTTTCAATAGAAATTTTAACAAAAAGGCATGTTTGATAGTAGAGGAACATGTTTGATAAAACATCATAGTAGAGGGGCATACCTGTAACCCAACATCAAATGGTAATATTTCATGTTGGTCCACTTGGTTGCAAGTAGACCAATTCTACGAGTGTTGTTTACACTCCTAAGTCCTAACCCCTATTTTTTGGGAGCGGAACCCATTAGTAACTTATAGGTGAATAACTATTCATAATATTATCGTTATATGATCTAATGATAATATCATGATATGATACAAATATGATGTCATCAAATTATTTTGATAAATATAATACCTCATATCAACACCATATCCCTATCATATCAATATCATGTCAACATTATATCATTATCATATCAACATCATACCACTGACTATCGTGATATGATAGTGGTAAGATGACGTAAACAAAATCTCTAAAACATATAAAAATGGATATCACTTAGAGGGTTGAAAATATAGAAATAAACTTATTTATATGGGAACCTCTTTATATTAGTATTAGAATTATATATTGTGTAGATAGATAACTCAAAAAAGAAAATAATTACCAAATGTTATTAGAGCTTCTTTAATTGTTTTTTTTTTTGTGTGTTCAAGATAGTTTTTTTTAGGCCTAATACCAGAAAAAGGCCTATAGTTTAGGGTTTGGGTCACTTGTACCCCTAAGTTTATACCGCGTCACTTATGTCCCAAAGTTTATAGTCCTAATGCCAATTTTGTCCTCTCTCATTTTGTTGACTGTTAGACTTAACGGTCAACCTAACGGTGGTCAAATATCTACCATGTCATTAACACCTAAGAAAATAATATATTTTTTTCAAATTTAATTAAACAATAGAAAAGTTTACCCACTCCACATATATTATTTTTCTAGCCCAAATTAATAAATTCCAAAAAAGAAACCGTTACTTCCATTCTTTTCTCCTTACCTATACACACAGACAATCGGAGGACGACGAGGATTGGTATCAAATCCTTTCAGCGGAAACATGCACGGTGGCCACCACCGGCAACGAGCTACAAGCTGCCTCTAGAGGCGAGGCGGCTGACCACTGAGGGTCGGGCCATGACGCAGGGGAGGTAGCTAGAGCGGATCAAAATAGGAGTCCGAAGGTCGAATCTAGGATAGGGAAATCGAAGATTGAAGGTCGAATCTCGTTCGTCGTCGATTAAAGCGCGGAATCCCCCTTTCTCGTTCGCCGTCGATTCAGTCGGATGGGGAAATCGAAGATGCGCGAGCATTAGGTCGGATGGGGAAGATGATGGGTTTGGAAACAAAATTTGGGTTTGGGATTCACATGGAGTGGAGAAATCGAATTTGGGCAACAGATCTGAAATCCAATTTTGGTATGGGGCTGAATTTAATTGCGTCCATGGATTCCTGGTTTTAGGTTTCTGTCTGAGGAAGACGATGGTACCAACTACCAATGAAGGGATGGGGGCAAACGGCAAAATGCCAAAATCCTATTTTGCATTTTTATTTTATCAGTTATTTATTAAAATATGTAATTTTATTTTTAAGTATTAATTTTTATTTACCTTACATTAAATGACGTGGAAAAAAAATCCACGTCATATGCCACATATTTTGTCAAAATTTTGACTGTTGACTACTAACGGTCAAAGTTAACGGAAATCAAACTTTGGGACATAAGTGACGCGGTATAAACTTAAGGGTACAAGTGACCCAAACCCTAAACTATGGGCTCTTTTCTGGTATTAGGCCTTTTTTTTAGCATGGACTCATGGTAAGCAGCCATGCAAATAGTTGGGATTAGAAAATTATTTTATAATTGCACCGTGATATTTGGGCTTATTGCACCGTTTAGTGAGCTAAATGCCTATATATAAGTTAGGCTTGAGGAGAATATAATAGCCCATGCCGTAATGTGCATGGACTTGGTGGACTTATATTGAACATAATTGGTCACAATTATCCAAATTCATATAAATTCATTAATTGTAGATTTATGGTTAGTGTATCAGTAAAGTATATATGTATTTGGATATTTGGTAGGGGTAGATTTGGATTGGATATGAGTATTGCTATTATATTATATTTGGGTATGCGTTCACCAATTTTTTTAATAATGATCGGTTTACCTATTTATGAGGTAATTTAAACAACACATACAAAATTAAACCTATTTATAAATCTTAAAAAGTTTAGGTATCGAATACTAAGCAAAAAAATATGTAGGTAGCCAATCTTATGCCAAAAAGTTAATTTTATGTTACCAAAAAGTATTTTTTTCTATATGTATGGTCACAAATCCAAATCTCTTAAAAAAAACTCGAACCAACCCAAATAAATATATATAGTATAAAATCATTAGACTATATCAATTTACCTTGTATTTGACTTTCATACCCAACTTATCAGTTGAATAATTAAATACTCGTGATTTTGCAAGATCATTCCTACTGATTTAGTTCCTTGATCCGAAAAATATCACAACCAACCTCATACAATTATTAGTCATACTGCCACTGAAACACCATTCTGTCATTCTGGAAGACAGTAAGTGAAACATATGATCACATCACTATCTTGTACTGCTTCGTCTTTACGCCGTATTCTTAGAATTAGATTCTCACAAAGTTTGTGATATGTCACCCTGGATGGAACCTTCAACTGAAAACTTCTACCACCAACGAAATGAACTCCCAAATTGTCTTCTACTTTCTCCGATTTCCACCGAACGACTAGTTCGAATCTTCTAAAATCACTACATAAAAAAACAACTCACTAATTACTAACTAAACAAAATCATAATAGCATTTGAAGAATATAATTAAAAAAATAAATGCGTCTCTTACCTATTAGTCATCTTCCCAGCAACCAGAGCTTCTCTCGTCTAACTTCGTCGATTTTTTGGTGGTGAGCAACTGAAAGGAAAATTGTTGGATATATGATGTTGGAGTGGGTGAGTGAGGGAGCGAACCCGCCTCAGTCTCTGGCGCCTTCGCTGGTCAACGAAATCGACATTCAAAAACCAAAAAGAATGGCGCCAATGCTCCAATCTCGGGCGCCGCAGCTCGAATTGATTCAAAAAAATTCAACTAACGGCCCCGCCTCAGTCTCGGACGGGCTCGCTTTTACCCTGCAAAAAAACACAATAACTGCGTCAATAGTTTTTAAACCGCCATATTGGTGGTAAATTAAAAAAAAAATATATATTTGTGGAATTAACCCCTCCCCTCCCACTTACAGCCTCCGTCGCTTGTCCGCTCGCCGCCTCCATTTCACCGCAGCTTTGCCATTAACTATTTATGTCCTCAATCTCTCAGGTTATTGATAACCCATGTTGCATGTTTTCAAGTGTACCAAAATAGAGCAGCCACAAGAAAAAACAGGGTAAATCGGCACCAGCGGAGAAAGCTTACAAAACCCAATCTATTGCCGACACTCGTTGAACCTTCTCCAACCTCTTGTCGCCTTCTATATACCAGTACTCGAAGTATTCGCGTTCTCTGAAATCAAAGTCGCAATCCAAAAATAAATAAATTGCGAATTTCCGCCGGATTCTCGAAAAATCGCGTTTTGGCGCTTTAGAGCGGGATCGTGGGACTTGAACCCACGAACTGGGTGACTAAAGAAAGACTCGTCTGACAGGGCATTGGCAATCGGAAAGTGATACCCAAGCCGGTAAAGAGTGTTGGTCGAAGTGCCAACTCAGGAAATCCGAAGATTGCAATCAAGATCAAGCTACTGTTTTAACAAGGCTAGAAATGGAAGTAGCCAGCAAAGGAAAGTTGGTCAGGAAAGGCATGATTTTAGCAACTAATTTCACTTTCCTTACTTATGAAGAAGAGCAGCAACGACTAGTGTTTCAAGGCTATATATATTCAGCTTGTGGGGCAACTTTGTATGAAAAGATAGCGGTAGAGGGCTAGGCTTTGGGATTACAAAGGGTTTGATGAGTATAAAGGCATAGGTTCTATATCGTCAAGGTTGTTGCGGGTCTGGATTGGGATCAGGGTTCTTTCTATCGTTCTTATTATTTGCGTTCTTCTTTTGAATTCCGTTTGATAGGTATAATCAACAAAAATAGTCTCCTAGAAATCAGTGATACTGATTCTAGGACGAGGACTGACCCATAGTTTGGGGAACCTCGTCAAAGATCCTTGTGTTCTCTTCTATTTTTCCGCTGTGTTGAAATCTCTGTGTCGTCTCTTTACTTGCTGTTGTATCTGGTTCATTTTGCCTTCTGCACTCTGTTTTCTGGGTTTGATTTAGGATACAAGGAACGGATGCTATTGAGTTCATATTTTAGAACTCGTGTGGGCTTATTAGCAGAACCTTGGTTCTGGACCAAATCCATTTTCTTTTAAGTGGTCATTTTGGGGTTGGGCTAAAGTCTTTGAGCCCATTTAATGTTAGCCGAAGACCACAAAAGGAACTAGTTTCCTTCTTCATTCGATCGTCTTCCTCTGTGTCAAAATCCCCAAATCTTAAGTTTTGAATCCCTAGTTCTTCTTCCTGTCCAAATCGTATTTCAAAGAGTTTAGTCCCCAAAGGGGAAAGGTGCCCGGATCAGCATCGGCCGGTGACTGAACGTCGACATCGCCGATATCGCACGAATGCGATAATAACCCAATAAGAGGCTGATGGACCAAATTCACACATTCAAGCTATAATTTCCTCATATGGGTGATTAATCCACAACAAAATTTGGAGAGATAAGCAAAGGGATCGTGACCTAATTCTAAAGGGAAGTGTCTCAGATATGTAGTCCTTCCTTGTTGTATCAGTCAGAGAGAGAGATAAGCAAAGGGATCGTGACCTAATTATAACAGTATTCCAGATTTCAGATTCGAATTTGACAACACGGTAGAACAAACAGGAGACACGAAAGACGGAGAAAAAGCACAAGATACCGGCGGCGGCGAGCTTCCAATTCGAGCGGTGAGGGGGGGAGTGCTAGTTGGCGGCGGCGGAACCGTTGGCGGTGGCCATCATCTTCTCGAACTCCTGGAAATTGACGCATCCGTCGCCGTCGGAATCGACGCCCTTGATCATCCTGGAGCACTCCTCCATGGAGCACTTCATCCCGAGGCGGTTGAGCACCTGGTGGAGCTCGGACCCGGAGATGCGACCGTCCTTGTTCTCGTCGTACAGGTCGAAGGCCTCGCGGAGCTCCTCGGCGGAGGCCGAGGACGAGCGGCAGAGCTGCGCGAACTCCTCCAGGTCGATGAAACCGTCCTTGTCGGCGTCGATGTCCTCCATGACGCGCTGGAGATCCGGAGGGGAGTAGTTCGTCCCCATGGATCTGAGGACGTCTGCGAGCTCGGAGAGGGAGATCTTGCCGTCGCCGTTGGAGTCGAATTTCTCGAACACCTTCTGCAGCTCGTCCATGTTCTGGAGGTAGGATGGGGAGGAGGTCGGCTTCGCGATTGGGGCTGATGTGTCGACCGCTTCCGCCATTGTTGACGTTGGGTTTCGCTTCCAGAAAAGAAAAGGGAATTTGTGATGGCAGAGAAGATATTATCAAAGACAAGTTGAGACTTGTCACTTGTGTAAAGGGTATATAAGGGGCCGGGAACTAGTAGACCTACAACTCTCAAAACCATAATCCATGAAACCGTACCGGATTTCGTATTGGAAAAGTCAGCGGTATGATATTTTATGATAAAACCGTGGTTTAATCGTAGTTCAATTGTAGTTCAACCGTTAGACCGTTAAATACTGCCTAATATAATATAATAATTATCGTACCATAGTTCTTCGTGGAGTAATTGCAATGATCTGCAAAAACCACATCAATTAAATTGCCTTTTACATTTCAAGTTTATCCAGTTTTACATGGTATCAGAGTTCAAGTTCGGTTTCGGGATAACTCGAAAACATCATGGGAGAAGAAGCTAAGGAATTAAAGAGTTGCAACTTGCAATACCCTTCAGGCTTCAGGGACCGCCGACCAGGAAATGCGATCTCTTCCCCACTCTATTTGCATATGTCAGAAGATCATTGCTAGATTTTATGCAATTGATTTTATTATTAAACCACGCAATAACCGGAGATTTATGTTTCTGTAGGAGTTACTTGAATTACAAATACATTAATAAGTCAATTTTATGGAGGAATAATTAGTTCTCATATAGCAATTAAACAGACATATCAAGTAATTCTTCCGTAACGATTAAGACAATATGTAAATCTCAAGGAGTGATATTGATTTCTCATGCATCAATTAAACAAATGTATTCCGTAAAACTTTTGAAAATATGTCACCCGAACTATTCTGTGAATTATTACAAGTTGTATTATTTGACTTTTCCCACGTATATTTCATCTGTATACAATAATCCAATCATGCTTTTTCAATTTTCTTTTCTTCGTAATTATTATTATTATCTAAAAACCGGCCGCGACTAAATGTCAAAGGATTGAAAAATCTTGACATTGAGTCTTTTCTTTTACTAGCATTGGGCCCGGCCCGTTGGCCGGTGGAGTATAAACCGGTTAGTGTATTTTGTTGTACTGTATTGTATTGGATGGTGGAGTATATAATACTCCAGCAATACTACTCAAAGGCAAAGCAATTTCATTTATTACTTCAACCATTCCATGAGTAGGCTTTGGTTATAAGATCCATGTCAATGATGCATTATGCTAACTGAATTATCATGAGTGTTTCCATAAGAATTTCTTCCCATCACACCAACCAATTTGCAGATTGCAGCACTCTAATTCATGGTTGTTCTGCTGCTGGTAATATGAATGAAGCCTTCAGATTGCTTAATGAAATGGTAAACTATGGTGTATTACCAAACAGAACCACGTACAATGCCTTGATGAATGGCTTGTGTAAATCAGGATAGATGAGGCCATGAGGGGAGTCGGATGTTGCTTTGGATTTGTAATAAAGAATGTTAAATGAAGGAACTCATCCTTCCACCATTACATACCTGCTATGATAAATGGTTTCTGAAAGCAAGGAGACATTGGAAACTCTGAAACTATTGGATGAGATGACAGAAGTTTGCTGATCTCAACCTAGCCCCGTTAGTTGAAGATTGCATTATACATAGAGAAACAAAGAACATCTATAGGATTAATGACATAGCACATGCCTAAAACCATGAAGTAAAAGCTAATGCATAACTTGATAAGCCCTGGGAACTGGGAAGCAATACGTCTACAGGTTGCAACATCATAGTCACTGAAATTCAAATTGATGCTGTCCAAAAGTGATACACAGAATTCCTACTGTCAAGAAAAAGAGAAAATCTAACTTGGAGTTGTGACAAATACATGTACAATAAACTGAGTCAATAGAGAGCTAAAAAGATACTGAGTACTTGGCTTGGAGCTGCTGGTTTCCTCCAACATTGGACCTGCCTCTGTGAGGGACTTACTTGATGCCTCACTCAATTGTTGTACTCAAATTAGAGTCATAAGAGAGCTTGTAAAGATGAAATTAAGTCGATACCATTTACCTAAATGAATTTAAGTACAACTAAAATGGTCTTCACCTACCCCAAATGGATCATGATCCACCCTAACCACATAATACTCACTTTGAGGATTCGAGAAGTTGAACTCGGTAAATTGAACATGTAATTCGAGTCTCATATTAATAACCCGTTGGATTTGTGGAGGAATGGTTTTTCTTCCTCTGATTTGATTGAAATAAAACATCATCCACAACTCCCAAGAAACGCAGACCTTCACATTCCAAAATGGCAAAATCAGGTTACCCAGTATCATCTTGCAAATGGCGTTGCACTATGTATCTACAATAAACATAGAATCAAATTGAACAAAATTCTCAAGTTCTTATGCCTCTTCCATAATGTGAAGTAATATCATAATTCCTATAACACTTTTGTAAGGGATATTCCTAATATGGAAAACGAATCAACTACTTTGAAATGTATTCAACTTAGCATCTAAGGATGATAAGTCGATAGCTTTTGAGACACAAAACTATGGATACATTTATGAAAGCTCTTACTTATGCGTATTAGTGATCTTGCTAATTGCAGAAAATTTTGGCCAAAATACAGAAGAAAACAAAAATTGAGAAGGGGATCTGTACCCTATGTATATTGGAACTGTAGACCAAAAGTTCACCACACAACAAAAAAATCATTCACAAAAGGAACTCCAGTTGTATAATCAAAACAAAATGAAACTGAGTAAAGTGCAGAACTTTAAAATCTAAAAGCGCATGACTTCTGCTAATCACATGCTGGTTTTACTTCACAGAGTCGAGAAGTTGATTTGCTACATGCTTAGAGGTTAGAAGTACTTCAGTATAAGTAATATGGTAACTCAAATCATGCTATTGCTCATCACAAACTGCAGTATTTCATTTATTTGTATCATGCTTAGAAGTTAGAACTAATGAAGTACAGCGAAAGGAAATTTTACAACAGGCAAAGACCGAAAGTTCATCATACAACAAAGAACTTGTTCACAAAAGAAACTCTAGCAGAATCCAGAAAGGGGGTCTACATCTCATCAAAAGCACACAACATCAGTACACCACCGCAAAAGCCAAAATACAAAGAACCCAAACTAATGGAACTTAACAGCATAGAGAATATAGCTCCGATAGTGCGTTACGCGAGGTAATTGACCAATCTCAGTAGAATTCCGAAGGGAAGCAACTTCTCGACTCTGGGCAGCGAGACAAATAGCAACACCAGAGAGAGACACCAGGTGGGTGACACACACAGACGACAGCAGAGCAGATGCGCGGAATTCCCAGAAGCGGCATCCAGCGACAAAACACCGACGGCACAGAGCCAGGCAATAGAGACAGTCGTCGCTGGGAGATTGAGAGATCCACCATCACTGTTGCGGCAACAAAGGTGGAAGCTTTGGGGATAGAGCGCGGATAAAATATGCAGGAGGACTTAAAAGACAGAGGAATTGCATAGTGGATCGGTCATTGCATTGGAACGGTGAGAGAGAGGCCTTCGATTCCGGTAGGATTGGAAGACAGAACAGGTTGGGACGGCGGGAGAGAGGGTTCGATTTCCGGTTGAAAATTGGAAGTGAGAATGCAAGAAAGAGAGGATCAGTGAATTTACGATGAAGACCCTCCGCACTGTGCTGCGGTTGTAGCAGAGGCTGACGTGGCAAAACCCATATGTTGACATTGCCTTATAGTATTTTGTAGACTATTAGTAGCTTGTCTAGGTCAGACGATTCATTTTCAACCCTTTTGCTCGGTTTCCCAATTCGTGGGTGTTTCCTCTGAAAAACCAAATACCATCGCCGGTGCCGATTTTGTTTCCGGCGATGTTGATTTGATGTTTCGCGATGGAAACTCTTGCGGTGCCGTTTGATCGGAAGCACCGTTGATTGCTGAAATCGAGACGACCGTCAAATATCCACCGGGCGGTGTTGATTTGATCGGTGCAACTGACTTCTGAAAACGATGACGATCGTCAAATATCCACCGTCTTGCGATGTTGATTTGATCGATGCACCTCTGAATGGTGAAATCAACGTGACCGTCAAATATCCACCGCCGGGCGATGTTGATCTGACCGATGCACCTCTGACTTCTAACCAACGCGACCGTTACTACGGTTTGCACCTCTCCAAACTACGTTCGAACGAGGGTGTTTGAGTTTTTGAGGAATCTATGCTACCGCTACTCCTATGGAGATTCCTGTGGAGAGCTCCGCGACTACGACTAAGACTACAACTATGGAGATCCTTCCTGGAAGGAGAGCTCCGCGAAGGAGTTACAGAGAAAAGGTAAAGTTTGAACAGAGTTGATATGTGTTGATTTTTGGTTGTTCCCTTCTCTCTCCTTGCTCCACTGCTTTTATTCGAAAAACATCTTCGCAGTCTTCACGCTCGGTGAAACCGCTTTCTCAACTGCTCTGTTGTGAACTCCCACGTGTCTCAACCGTCTTGATCTCCTCCTCGCTCTGGTTGGCGTGAATCTCACGCGATGTCGTTTTATTCCCCAAACAGCTCTGTCTACTTTTTTCTCCGCGACATTGTTTTATATTAAACACTGTCGTTTTATACTCCGCGGTGTTGTTTTCTCTCGCGGCGTCGTTTTTAGTCAAACAACACCGTCTAAAATAATCATTAAACAGATTAATTAATTAAACCGGCTCATTATTTATTGCCACGCGGTCAAATTCTCATCCCTTGGCGCCGTTTAATCTTTCCGCGACATCACTTTTCTCTGATCGATGCCGACCTTGAACTGCTCCGTCCTGGTCCCATCAAACAATGTCTTTTTTCATTCCGCGACATTGTTCTCTACCAAACGGTACCGTTTTCTCGTCTTGCGGTGCCGTTGGGCTTGGCACGCGGCCCTCACCAAAATCCTACCCGTTGTGGTGTAGTTTTTTAATTAAACGACGTCACTTAGTAATACCGCGGCACGGTTGGGCCTACTCGCGGTACCGTTTTTCTGTTTCGCGGTGTCGTTTTACCCATCCGCGATGCCGCTTGTCTCTACGCGGTGTCGTTTCACTCTCCTTCTCCGATAAGGAATAAAAACACACTCCTTTTCCAACACAACACAACACCAATCTTGCGGCCCATGTCTTACAACAATTGTTTTCTAGTAAACAATTTCGTTTCAAGTACCGCGATGTCGGCGAGCTTCCTTGCGGTATCGTTTACACTCTCCGCGACATTGCTCGATTCCAACCGACACCATTTTGTATCATGCAGCATCGAATTAAATGCCGAGACTCATTAATACGACATTTAATTAATTTAAATTAATTTTAGGGGTAAACAGTGGGTCAGAGTTATTGTACCGGCGACAACTCAGCCGGCGGGGAAATCGGGTTCTTGACCTGCGAGCTTTGGCAGCAAGCAATGGAGGATCGCCTCACATGTGGTTGCCGGGCTGCACAAAGATTATTAATATTACATGGAAAGAGACAGGTAGCTTCCAAATCCTTCAAAGCTTTTTTCTAGGCCATTCAATGCGAGAAAAATGGCGTGAAACTAATCAATGAAGTGAGTATCAAGTGATCTTGATCTGTTCAGATACAGGGAAGATGGTTCTTCTTCTATCTGTACACAGTGATGTCTCCTGTACTGAACTAATTGTTGTAACAGGCAATACATAGAAATGTAGTGAGGAATTAAACTCTTCACTCCACAGGAGATTATTTTCCTTTCACATTCATGCAACAACAAAAAATAATCTGCACAAGATATTATAATGACTTGCTGTTGCAAATTATACTAGCAAGAATCAGCAGTGGTAGAGACCTGTGTTAATGGGGGGGAGTAAGGAAGAGGTGAATGTTCAGGGGGCATCATCATCTTCATGTCTCGGAGGAAGATCGTTCTCGGGGACCGCGATGAAGTTGCCCTGTTGCTCGTTAGATTCGATGAGCATCAGCACGACTTCTCGCATAGATGGCCGGTCCAAAGGGGATATACTTGTGCAGACGAGAGCGATTTTCATGACAGTGATCATGTGATCAATGATTCTTTGATCTTCGAGGTCGAGTCTACGATCAAGTACCCCCGATGTAAGTGAATGCCCCCGGATGTACTGTTTCACCCACGTCACGAGATCGCCTCCTTGTTCTAGCGGCTGTACAGGGGTCCTCCCAGTCAGTAACTCCAGCAAAACCACTCCGTAGCTGTAGATATCGCATTTTTCTGTGACCTTCAGTGTATATGCATATTCTGTCATAGGATGAGGAGTTAGACACGATACTAAAAGAGGCCAAAGGTTTTCCAAGTCCAAAAATGGAAAATGCAGCAATGGGTCAGTTATGCAAAAATGCAGCAATGGGAACAAGGGCTCACCAGGTGCAATATACCCATAAGATCCTGCAACCGCTGACATTGATTTCGAATAAGGCAAGTCTACTACTTTCGCCAAACCAAAATCGCCTACATGAGCTTCAAACTTGTCGTCAAGTAAAATGTTGTTGGATTTTATGTCGCGGTGAATTATGCTTGGTCGGCAATCATGGTGTAAGTAAGCAAGACCTTCAGCAGCTCCAAGAGCAATGGTGAACCGAGTTGGCCAGTCCAAGTCACAAGAGGGACCATGAAGCAGCTCTCCCAAGCTACCTTTTGTCATATACTCGTACAAAAGCAGATTGGAGCCCTGATGGTAGCAAAACCCGTAAAGCTTTACAATGTTCCTGTGCCTGATGTTTCCCAGGGTCAGAATTTCCGCCCTGAAACTGTTCTCAATGTTGCTTCCTTCCCTGTTAGACGACAACTTCTTCACAGCAATGACTTGTCCAGAATGCATAACGGCTTTATAGACTGTTCCACAGGCTCCCCTGCCAACAGCATAACTCTCGTGGAAATGATGTGTGGCCTCAACCAAATCTTGGAATGTAAATCCCTCTTTCGGACGAAAGTATATATCCGATTCTGAAATCGAAACATCATCGTCCTGTAATGAAGGAACCGTCTCCACTGGACGCCTCATGAAGTATAGAATGACAACAATAAGAATGAGAGAAACCCCGCCAACAACAGCAGCAACCAGAGTGATAATTTTACTTCTAAGTCGATCTGCATTCACCAAAGGTGGCACCACAGTAGAAGAAGTTGGATCCCCACCGCAGTAACCAAGAGGTCCACCGCATAGCCCTTTGTTTCCAATGAAGCTAGTTAGATCCATGTTTTGGAAAATAGGTACTGGGGGTACAGGTCCACTGAGATCATTATACGAGAAGTTACACCCAAGCAAACTTGAAAGGCTTTCAAGAGTTCTTGGGATCTCACCAGTTAAATGATTATTGTTGAGCAGAAGGAATTCCAACAGAATAAGATTACCAATCTCTGGGGGTATTTCACCGGTCAGATTATTGTAACTGATATTCATGGCGATCTGTAAACTGGACAAGGACCCCAACTCTGGTGGAATATCTCCTGAAAGTGAGTTGCCACCCATCTGCAACTCGGTCAAATGGGAGAGATTTCCTAATGCAGAAGGAATCCGTCCAGAAAGCTTGTTATCTGACAGCTTCAGAAGCTCCAACTGCATAAAGGTCCCCAGCTCGGCAGGCAGATCATCAACAAAACTGTTGTGGCTGAGATCAAGCCTTTGAAGCATCTTGCATTTAACGATCTCGGGCGGAATCCTTCCACTTAGCAAATTAGATGAGACATTGAAAGTCACAAGTTGAGATAGATTACCAATCTCCCTAGGCAACTCAGAGGTGAAGTAATTGTTAGCAATATGAAGCCTCTGCAACTTCTGGCAGTTACCAACTTCTGGAGGGAGTGGACCGGTGAACCGGTTTTGGTCTAGTTCAATAGCAGAAATGTTTACTAACTTGCACAGCTCGGAAGGAAAGCTGCCAGTAAGCTTATTTCCAACAAGCCGAAGTTGTACCAGTGTTTGGCAGGTCAATAACCCTGATGGGATGTTGCCATAAAGTCTATTAGACTCGAGATTCAACATAATCAAGTTGGAATGGCGACAAATGTACGGAGGAATTCTTCCAGTCAGATAATTGGCTGAAAAATCAACCACCCATAGCCTGCTGTAAAGACCTAGCCCAGGAGGGATTTTACCACTCAGAGAGTTGTCAAAAAGCTGCAATTGTATCATTCCTGTCAAGTACTGAAACCCATATGGGATAGACCCAGTGAGCTTATTGATGGACAGATCAAGCTTTGTCAAGTTCCTCAAACTACTGATCTCATTTGGTATGACACCAGTGAGCTGGTTCTGGAAAAGGTAGAGCAGACTCAGACCCTTTATCTGACCAAGCTCAACCGGGATTTCACCAGTCAAATAATTCTCGGAGAAATCAATTTCTGTTACCATAGACATATTCCCTATTTGTCTCGGAACAGTTCCATTCAACTGATTTCTGTAGAGATACAACTTCTTCAGAAACTTCAGATTGGTTAGCTCCACCGGAATAGGTCCGACCAGAGTGTTCGCATACAAGGCAAGTGTTTGCAGACTAGTGCAGTTGCCAAGCTCCTTCGGCGTGAAACCTGAGAGTTGATTATCCCACAGAATCAAATCAGTTAAGCTGCCGAGCATTCCAATTTCCTTTGGCAGTTCGCCTCCAATGTCGTTTTGAGCAAGACCGAGCAGCTCCAAACTCTGGCAACCACCTATTTCAGCCGGAATGCTACCAGAAATGGCATTCTGTCCCGCACGAAATGTCTGCAAATTCTTGAGCTTTCCAATGGATTGAGGCAGTGGACCGGAAATGTTGTTCGTATAAGCCACAAACTCTACCAATGAGACCAACTTCCCAAACTCCTCTGGAAGAGATCCAGAAATCTTATTGTTGCATATGTTCAAATGTTCAAGAAGAGATAAGTTACCAAGTTCCGCAGGAATTTGACCACTGAACTGGTTGTTGTTCAGGACAAGGGACTGTAACTTAGAACAATTACCAAGTGCCTTGGGTATATCTCCCGTCAACTTATTGAAAGAGAGATTGAGATAGCTCAAGTTGATCAAACCGCCAATAGTTGAGCTTAGAGTTCCAGCGAGATTCATTGAACTCAAATCAAGAGACCAGACACGACGAGAATAATCCGAAGTACAGTTTACACCAGTCCAACCGCAGGGTGTCTGGTCAGCCGGATTCCAATCCACCAAATTATTCAGTCCATTGTCAGTAAGGTCCTTCTTCAGCTGCAGAAGGTATTGTCCTTCAGAATTCAATCCCTCCGAGGGAAAAATCATCAGTGCTGAAAGAAGCAGTAGTCCTGTAAACCATGACTCAAAAACTTGCCGTGATTCAGACCTTGCTGCCATATTATCCCTTAGCTTGAGCATTGACAGTAGCATGAACTGGAGAAGGGGAACAAAGCAGGATGAGCAACTTCTCATTTTCAGCACCCACTAAATGGCTATTGTTAAGCTAATAAGGTAATTCCAGTGCACAAATGGTAAAGGGAGGGAACCTAATCCTGTCCATCTCTCTATTTATAACTTGATGCCAAAGCAATAAACCCAGAATCCAATCACACAACGCATACACAAAGTTTAGTGACAGGAGTAGTAATATAAATGTCCAGCAAAAGGGAAGAACTTCATCTCCTCGACCAATTTTTTAAAGCAACTGAAATCAACCATTTCTATATCTAATAAAGTAACTGCCAAAAACAACAGACAAGATAGAAATAGAAACTGGGATAGGGGGGAGGGAAAAGACAAACCTGTAGAAGCCAAAAAAAAAAGCAGAAAACCGGATCAGTCACCGAATAAGATACAGCAGAGGCAGCAGCTGCAACTACACCATTTCTCTGCAACTCCTAGATACCTTGAAATATGAGACACTCCTGTGGAAGAATACATGGATCAATAGAGCAAACCAAGATAAACCCAGTTCACCTTTTTGCATCAAAATGGTGGGGTTGGGGAGGGAAGGGGAAGGATCTATGATTCAAAAAAGGCAAAGGGCCAAAGAAGATTTTGCTAAACCGAAGAAGATTCCCTCTTTTCTTTTCCCCCTCTCTCAATCTCTCTCAACAAATCCCCCAAAAGGTCAAGGAAGTAAAAAAGGCAAGAAAAAAGATAAGAGTGGAAAGGACCAGATAAAAGGGAGAGGGATATTATTTCTGGGTTTTCAATGGAGATGTGGAAACTAGAACAGTGAAATTGAGAGGATTAGATAAAGAAAGGAAAGGAAAAAGCTTTTTCAAACCCCCCTCCTCCCTAGAAATGATTCAATGTATTGAAAGAGAAAATGGAGTGGGCAGAAACGGGTCCAAGCTGTGGTCTTTTAACTCTCTGTTATCTCTTCTCCCCCTCTTTGAGAAGCTCTAATGGCCGACAAGGCATGCTCTCATTTCGTCCCTCCCTTCATCTCTATACGCCTCTCTCCCTCTCTCTACAGCAATAATATATATCTTTTAAAAGTAAAATAAATAAACGTACTATAGGAAATATATTTCAAAAGAGTGAGCTGCTGCTGATGAAAGTGATGATGCCAATTTGCTGTGTGTGTTAAATGTTGGTGGAGGGATGGAGGAGGAAGAGCGGAGCTGGCGGTGGCGGTGGCGGTGGTGGGATTGGATGTCTTGTTGCTTTCACTTCCGCCATCTTTTCTTTCCCCTTTTCTTCTTGCTTTTTGCTTCCTAAATTATTTTAAACAAAAAAAAAAAGCTTCCATCTTTCAGTGCTCTAGCAAAAAGGCAGGAACTTTGTCCTTTTTCCATTTGCCTATAGGCTATGGCTACACATGTGTGTGTAGGTAACTGTAGATCAGCATTTCCATGGCATTGAAAAAAAAGCTTTGACCTTTCTAATGGGTTTTCTTTCTTTTTCTCATGAATTTTACAGGAAAGGGTTTTGCATTGGATCGGACAGCTTGCCTTCACGGGAGGTTTGCTTCTGTGAATGAAAATTTTCAGTGGGAACAAAGTGGTTGGTGTTTGTTCATCTGAAGAATGAGAACTCCCCAAAGAAATTGGGTTTTTTTCCATTTCAACACTTTAAAAGAAAATTATGATATCTGACGCGGGCTGATGAGAATATGAAGTCAGCACATCACGCACACTTATTTGTCTTCTACTGGAGGAGGATATGCTCTTCATCTAAGTGGCCAGAAAGCCAGAAACTGGTCTAGAAACTAATCACTGCCTGCGACGATGTTCATCTTCATTCAGAAAAATCAATGCTATGACTCTCTCTCTCTCTCTCTCTCTCTCTCTCTCTCTCTCTCTCTCTCTCTCTACTACTACCCACCTCTTTCTCCATTGTGATTCTGCTCCCATGTCTGTCCCTCTGTGAACGTTATCCTGTTAGTGGTGTAATCAATAATCAAGTCGAAATTGGTGATCAACGGTTACATGATAATCAACGGAATAGTAAATGATGTTTTTCGGTAGTCAAATTTAGCTAACCACTTATCAACGGTTATTAGTTGACAGTTAAACGGGTAAATGATTAACTAACTAACTAATTATGGTCATCCTCACAGGTAGGACCAAAAATAATAGACATCGAGGAGCCGCAGGCATAGACCGAAAATCATTGGATGCTTGAAAGCTCACAAGATGTCTTGCCTACACTAGTTGTAATTGTGACTTAGGTTCAAATGAGAACAATATCAATGAAAGGCTTTAGAAAGAGCACAGCAGAAAGATGAGCTTACACAGATTAGTTCGACAACAATTAGTAACATTTAACCTTTCATGTAATTTAGTGTGATTTTCTAGTTGAGTAATTGTTGTTGGCTTTGTTATTCTTATATGCTTTTCTAATCAAATTTGACGGTAGAATGATGTTATTGTGTACTTTCTACTTTGTTTGGATTGAGTTGATTGTGCATTGATATCTATGTTTAATTAGTTTTTTATTTAATAATAATAACTTAAAAAACATACATAGGAAAAAAAATCTACAAAATGTACAATTTGAAAAAAAGGAGGAAGTCTTATTTTAGTTAGATTACGAATTGTTTATTTGATATCTTTGCCAAATCACTTGTTTCACAATTACCCGATTAACCCACAAAATAATCAATAATCGACTATACAATTAGAGATCAACCTAATAATACATAAAGAGTTGCAATTGTAAGTACAAATTACTTACTGGTTAATCAATAACCAACTATACAACTACGAATATAACCAAATTCAACCGACTAAAATTAGTCGATCTTGCTTTCGCTTTTCTGATTATTTTCTCTGGGCATCCTCCAACTATTGTCGTGGCTGGGCAAGAGCAGTGAAGGCCGGCGGCCGGCCTCTTGATGAAAATTGAAAACCGTGTAATCTCGACCCACTCTAAAAATCGGGGACAAACCCGAGCCCACTCTAAAATTCCATTTAAAACTGTAGGCTGCGGCCTTGACTGCGCTACAAATGGGCCGCCCTAAAAATAAATGTCCCTTGTGGTCGGGCTATGCTTTGGGCCCGGTCATGCCTTGATTACATGGTTTTTGTTTAAATAAGATATCTAATTGACTCGATTTGTGGTCTTGTATCCTATCTAAACTATAGGTTCTAGCATCAAAATTAATTTAGTTTATAGTTTAACTAAAAAAATCGGGGTGTTATGAAACTGAGTAGAAAAAATCAACAATCTTGAAATGTAGGGACTGGTTACGGTGTTAATTGTACAAGAGTTAGCACCGTCCTAACCAAGGGTTAGTAGTGATTTAGCTTAGATGTTGTATTGATTTCATAATAATCCGTAGTGATTTCGTTGTTTTTAGTAGCGTTTTTTGCTAGTTATAGGGTTAGCACCTAATCCCATCCCTGAAATGTACAATGGCAATAAAACTTGATAGATTTGAATAGATGATTGTCAGGATAGGGGGGGGGGGGGGAAACAATACACTAAACGAAGCCAAACTTCAAGATTTACTAAGAGAGCACGCACACACACTTTTCAAGTGCTAGAGGTTGTATGCAGACCATATTACTCTTGTCAACCCTCGAACCATGGTAGCTCAAATTGCTTTCAGTTAACTGAAAGTAATCAAAACCAAAGGGTGTACAATCAATCTAAATATCCAAAACAAACAAAAAAACCTTTATTAGAGATTGCGCATATCAAACGCGAAAGTGCCACAACATTTGTTTCAAACTGTTGGGTTTTTTAGTGGTGTGAATGAATGAAAATGAAAGGGGAAAATTCCAAGAGAGTTCTTGAAGTACCATGTTGGTAAGATGTGGGAAGGCACGACCTTGAATTCGATTGATTTGATATAATATGTGGTTAATCGGTTAAATTGGTTCGTGTACCAAACGGACAAAACCACACCGAGTTGAACCAAATCGAACCGAACTGATATGGCGGTTGGAATAACCAAACCGGGCCAACTACCATGGGCCAAACCGATGCAATGGTTCATTATTTTAAAACGAACCAATGTGTTGGTTGGGGTGTAACCACTCATACGAAGAGTTGCCTCCCATCGTAAGCACCTCTTCATTTTCTATAAATAGCACCTAAGTCCTAAACCCCTCTAGTTTTTAGATGGATTTTTCCGTTACCAAAATTCTGCCAAAATCCAAAACTAGAATTCTGCATTCTTTTCAAAGAGAAAATCGAGTCAAGTGTGGTTCTCACCGGTTCGCTGCGTTCGATGGGTTCCGGGGTTTGAGTTACCGCTACGCCGGAAAAGATACGTCCTTTCTATCCTGGGAGGAATCATTTCATAACCTTGGGTACTAAAGGGGAATAAGATTCTTTAAGGAGAGATAGTGAATTCTATCGGCTGAGACGCTTGCATGTGTTTTTGCATGTTTTCTTAATCTTATGTGTTTGCTTGTATTGCAAGAAAAATAATATACGTGAACAATTTCCTCACCACAAACCACATCATCATACAAAGGAGTGTGTTCGGACGAATTCCTCCAAAAGATGGATTTTGGATGGTAGAATCGCGGTGGGCATGTGGGTGGTGGGTGGTGGGTGTTGTTTCAATTAATCAATAAGCAAAGCCAACAACAATGCATTTGGCGTCAAAACCTCATTCTTTACTTTCCATCCTTGAAAGAAAGAGCCACATACACATTACGACCACCACCGCCCACATGTTATCATGTGAGGATTCTTTCATCTTTCAAAGCATCCATCCATCCATCAATAATTATAGAGGGAAGGAGGGGGTGGATCCATCAATACACGCCGGTATCTCTCTCTCATAATGTCCACCGTCTATCTATCAGTAAATGTACCAACCTACACAAAGGTATCTCATTGATGGCAATTTGAACCAGATCAGACCCGCAGTACTGTGAGGTAGAGCATACGTATCTAATTTCGATCCATCCTTTCTTGCTTCTTCTTGTTTTTGGCCTATTTTATTTTAGGGGTGGTTTGGTTTTGGTGATTGTTTGGTTGTGATAGTTACAACGCATGTATTTTCCACAATTTATTGTTTGTTTTTTTTTTAATTTCTGCACAATACCATATGGTATGCTCTTATTAATACTAGTCAATACCATGTGGTATATACTCGTAAAAAATGGATCAATTTTTTTTTGTTTCAAAAATATATCAAAGTGAATATCATTTTGAAGAGCACAGTTAATTTTATCTAACTGTGCAAAAAAAAAATCTGACTTAAACCGAGCAAAAAATCATTCGTTAAAAATTAAGGGAGAAAAAATTAAAGACTTTCCAAAAAAGAAAAGAGACGCTGATGTGACGGATGGTGATTGGATTACTAATGGTTACTCACCAGTCACCACAAGGTTACTCATGGAACAGCTCTCGGCGTAGACTTGCCCTACAAAATCCAGATTTGGCAAGCTTCTCAACTTTTGCTTCCGACTATTTGAACCAGTGGCGGATACATGCATGGTTAGGGGTGTCCCGGGACACCCCTAAAATTTGGAAACACGATTATTCAACCTACGATAGTAATTTGCTTATGAGAAAAAAAAATATTTAAGTGGTAGTGGGACGCCTTTAAAATTTGGAAAAATGATTATCCAATCTCGCGTAGTAGTTTGAGTATTGGTATAAATAATATTTAAGTAGTAGTTTATGTGATTTAAATTTGGGACACTGCCACTATTAGTTAATATATTTTCAATTACGCTACAACTCATTTGTTATTGTGTTTTAGATCCAAATATAATAGTAAAATATTATTCTTATCTCAAATTATTTTCAAAACCTAACGATTAAACTCAATTACGGGATATCCTAGTCTAGTAAGATATGTCAAGAGATATTTGTTGAGCAGTATAAACACCAAATGCATTTTATCATTTGATGAAACACGTCTGAACTTTTAATGAAACTTTATTAGTTAGATATTTTCATATTTAATAATTATTTAATTTAATTCTAATATTTAATATATTTTTTTATAGAGGACACCCCTACGTAGAATTCCTGGATCCGCCACTGATTTGAACCGTATTTGCTCATTGGGGATTCTAATTGCTCTTTGTCTGCGTTGAAAAAGCATGTTGGTGCTATAGAAAAGGTGTGTTCATCACTTCATTACGAAATTTTGTGTGTGGTTTAGGACTTTTTTTATGGGGCTTTTTCTGAACCTCAATTTACATGCACAAATCGAAGTTATAATGACCATCTAATTGAACAACGTTTAGACTGTGTTAGTGTCTCTTGATTGGATGTGACAATGTGTCAATGGCCTTGTACCTCTCTGACTCATAGTCATATATCACATATCGGGTCTGATCATAGATTTTTGTTCTTTCGACGAGTCACTTCTAGCTCTTTACGAGAGAACTTTCCACTTTGACCTTCATTGGACTAAAATGGCAGAAGCAAACCTTCTTATCCTCCTCATTGTGCTAAAACTTACATGAAAACATCGATCGGACCATCGATCGGACCATCGACTACCATGGCGGACTGGTGGTAAGGACTAAGGACTATACGAACGAGATCAAGTTGTAAGCAAGTGTTAAATTGGGGTTCTTTTTGTAATTGACCTCTGCGCAATAAATCAGAACTGTGCTGTGTCCAGTGTCCTGTAAGTAAAGGGTACGGAAATAAATCAGAAACTTCCTCAATTCTTTGTCTCTCTTCTTCTTCCCATTCCTCCTCTGTTCTTCTTCTCCTCCCTTTCTCTCTTCTTCTCAATTCCTATATCCCCTATCAATTTCCATCTTGCTACTCTGAATTCGTCGACAATAGATCCAGATCAAGCCCAGGCGTTACAGAGATCTGGGAACTTCTCTGGTTCAATCAGTCACCGTCGCTCTCTTTCTGGGTACTTCCTATCTTTCCTTTCTTGTGAGTTGGAATGTCTGGCTTTTGCTTGCTGGATCTGATGCTGGAAGTTAGGTTCTTCGTCAATGGGCTATACCTGTTATGTCGGTGGATTTGTGGGATTTTGATTCTTCAGCCTTAGTCGAGTTGGGGTTTCTTGGTTCGATTTAATTATTATGGCTCTTGGAGGTGAAGTAATGAAAGAATGGTTTGATTCAGCCACTAGGTTCTTACCATCTAAGTGCTAGTTTCTTTCTTGAAAAGCACACTCTTATCGCATTCTCGAGCTGATGAGTCTGTGTTGGTATTTGAAGAGATCAGTTTCAGTTTAGTTCGTCAAGTGGGCATTCCCTGTTCTGATAACAATTGACTTGGATGTGAAGTGTCTTGTTTCTGATCATCTGTGTTCCTTCTGCATCTTTGTCCTAACCAATCATCTGTGATCTTTTCGTATTGGTGTGTCTTGTTTCTGATGATCAAGGTTCACCTTTCATTAATGGAAGATAGGGGTTTGATATCAGATCAAGTAGCATGTTTGTATGTTGCTAATTAAGAACCATACTTTTAGGACAGAACAAAAAATGGGGCAAACTATGGTAATGTGGAGTTCAAATGGTTAAGTAGTTATGACCTTATGATTGATTCACCTTTTCCCCCCATTAACATGCAGGGAGGAGAAAAAAGTTGTGAATTGGACTGTTCAGAATGATAAAAAGGGCTTCAAGTAGGTCCAAAGGAATCAAGGTGAAGCATGTCTTGCAGATTTCTCTGTTGCTTGGTGTCTGCTTCTGGTTAATATACCAGGTCAAGCATTCCCATGATAACAAAAAGGAGTTTGGTGAGAAAGATGCAGAAGTTTCCACCACTACTAGAACACGCGTTAATGATAATGAGATTCTGAAGTTGGGGAGGAAAGACCTGCATCCTCGTGTGGATGATGTGGCTAAGAATGAGAATGTGGCTGAAGATGATGAAACAGTGGCAGAGGAGGAAAATGTCAACGCGGGAGGAGACAATAAGCATGCAAAAGAGCTAGAGCAAGAACTCGAACTTACTAAGCACGAGGAAGAGGAGCGGGATGATGTTAGTAAGCCTGAAGAGGAAGAAAGGGGCAATGATGATGATGATGAGAACAACAAGCATGACGTAGAAGAAGAAAAGAAGACTGAAGAAGAGACCAAAGTAGAAAGCAGAGGTGCTGGCGATAATGAGTTTGGTGAACATGATCAGGATAAACTGGAAGGAGAAAAGGGAGGGGAAGCTTTATCGGAAGAGGAGAGAGAGAAAGGGAGTGAAGATGGCGATACTAAGGAGAGTGAAGTTAATAAAGAAGAGGACAAGGAGGTCCATGGAACTTTACCTGAAGATGAGGATCACGAGGACGGAAGCCAAAACTCCCATGAAGCTCAAGAGGAGCACTACAAAGGAGATGATGCTTCAAGTGCTGTTACTCATGATGAAAACAACAGTGGGAAGGACAAAATAAATGGTCTTCAGGTAGGCGAATTTGCTGATAATAACGGAAATGGGAATTCCAATGAGATTACTCAAACAAACTCAACATTGCAGCAGGAACAAGGTGACATGGCTGCTAATAACTCTCTTCAGGTAGACGAAGTTGCCAATAGTAATGGAGCTGGGATTGCCAATGAGACCGTTCAAACTGACTCAACATTGCAGCAGGAACAGGGTGGCATAGCTGCTAATAACTCTCTTCAGGAAGGCGAAGTTGGCAATAGTAATGGAACTGAGACTGCCAATGAGACCGTTCAAACCGACTCAACATTGCAGCAGGAACAAGGTGGCATGGCTGCTAATAACTCTGTTCAGGAAGAAGAAGTTGGCAATAGTAATGGAGCTGGGACTGCCAATGACATCGTTCAAACCGACTCAACATTGCAGCAGGAACAAGGTGACATGGCTGCTAATAACTCTGTTCAGGAAGATGAAGCTGCCAATAGTAATGGATCTGGGATTGCCAATGAGAGTATTCAAACCGACTCAAAATCGCAGCAGGAACAAGGGGACATGGCTGCTAATAACTCTGTTCAGGAAGACGAAGCTGCCAATAGTAATGGATCTGGGATTGCCAATGAGAGTATTCAAACCGACTCAAAATCGCAGCAGGAACAAGGTGAGATGGCTGCGAATAACTCCGCAAGTGTGTTGTCTGGTGGTGAGCAGACGATTGAGGACGAGAAGATCATCAGTCAGCCTGGCTCAGAAAACACGTCAACTACAAATGTGACATCCACTGTGCTGCCTGATAATGATCATCAACAAACAAGCAATGAGTTGGCAGTCTCGAATGAAGAAACTGGGAACAATAATAGCAATGGAGATACTGCTCCAGTGGAAGCATCTGTGTCTGATACTACATCTGAAGAAAATGCAACAACTGGAGGCTCGGCAATTGGAGAATCGTCCGACCAGGATACCACTGAAGCCGAAAAGGTCAACTCCGAAGGAACAGTCTCTGGTAACGCTCAGTCCACAGACTCAAGTAGCAACTCAGAATCTGGTGTTGATCAGACAGTCGCTAAAGATGAAACAACAGGCGAAGGGGTGAAACCTGTGTTGCCAACAGCAGAAACTGACGTCACTCATAATGAGAATTCTGAGGAGAACAAGGCTGAATCAGGTCACAGCGATGACAGTGGGGTGGAAGCTGTAGTTGGGCACGACGCTAACGTTACTTCTGGTTCTTCAGTTGGCCAAGAAGAGAACTCAGGGCTTGAAACAAACGCAGAAGGAGTTAGCAGCGAGACTGTTGCAACGGAATGAGAGTTGTTTGAGCACCACTCAAATAGTCCTTTTTATTATCAGCCGTTGCAGTTAACAGTTTGTCTAGCTGTTGTTTCCTTATCACTGAGGGTTCTGTAGTATTATCTCTTGTGAGTAACAGTGTGTCCAGCTGAAGGTACAGAATGAAATATCCATCTAAAGTTAGACTGGAGAATACGAGTTTTAGTTACTGTTCAGTGAGAGTTAGGAAACTGGTGAGTGAGTTTGTTTTGATATTTTTCATTATATGTAATCCATGCCCTCTTGTCAACTGGATTGATTTCCTTGGAAGTGCTTCTATAGGAAGCCATTCCAACGAGTGTAATTTCTTGTTTCAGTTGTGGAATCCCAAAATAATGCCCAAAATTTGACTCTGATGTAGTTGCATACAGTTGCTGGGAAGAGCGGGGTATGCAATGCATGGTGTACGCTGGGATGTAGGTATGAAAGTAACTCTACCGTGTGACAGCGATCAAGTCGGTTGTAAGGGTTATCGTTCTTATTCTGGCTTATAGTTCTCTAGTTCAGTTTTTTTTAGGTCCAAATTTCCTTCCTAATTCGCCCCAAGTGTATTTTTATATGAAATTCACGAAAAACTGCTCAAAATAACATAAAAAATATAAAGTACTCGTAAGATCTATAAATCGCACTTTTGACAAATAGTTTATCATTTCCATCGTAAAACATCTAAAAATAGTTAAAATACATTAAATGAAGATGTATATTGTACGAAAAAATAGCATTTTTCAGGAGGAATAACCATTGCTCTTACCCACTGGCATGAAATCAACTTGTTGCACAACCCTACTTGGTCTCCTCTTTTCTCAATTAACGAAGTTGTTGGTATAGCTCATACGTGAGAACACACAAAAACCAACTGTGTTGTTATCCAAGGTTGGTAGCCGGTTGGGAATCGACACTACAACAGCAAAAACACAATTAACTTAGATGCAAATGATCCATCATAAAAAGAACTGAGATCTCAAGAGTGAGCTATCCATTTGAACCCTTTGAGAATTGACACTACAATAGTTACCTCTCATTGCCACAACAAACCGATAGCCATGGAAAATGAAGTTGTAGATAATATAGGTCGATAGCTGTAAATGTTTGTTTTCTGTAGCTATTACGTGCATTTTTAGTTACAATTACCTTTGACTATAAAGTATAAACTGAGTTATGTATTTGTTAAGAATGTAGTGTAGTAAAGTAGTACATCTATAGCCACCTAAATTTAGTCATGTTACTATAGAGTATAGTTGATTGGTGTGCTTAGCCCAAAGGATTAGTGAGTTTAGCTACAATAGTGAGCTAGCAAATTCGAGCCATGAGAATATAAGATTGTAACTAATGGTTGGATTTAAAATTAATGTAGCTCAATTGTCAATATCAAAGGTAAAGTTACCATGAGATGTATGATTATAACTAATGGTTGTAATGTGGAAGAAAGAATTGATGGGTGATTTGCAACTCTTTGAGTGGAAGCAAAAAATTTATCTATGTAAGGTTATTTATATAGAATGGACATGCTACCAATAGAACCACTAAACTAGTTACAATACCGGTCCACTTGCTTAGATGGTTGGGGATGGATCAAACGATTTTTAAGGGTTTGAAATGAAATCAGATGAACCATAATGGTTTGATCGATCCATTGATTCACCATTTTTTATCACAAAATTTTAAAAAACTATACTTTAACCAACATTAGGACGCAATCCAATATAAGTTACTAATTTTATTATCGTTTCATATTCTGTTTTTTTAACTTCCTTGTCGGTTTTACGAACAAGGGCTTGGTCTAGTGGAAATACCACTAGCCCAGAACCTGGAGGTCCCAGGTTCGAATCCCTTAAATAGTACCTTAATAACAACAAAATAAAACATATATCACCATTATAATAAAAAAAACCTTTCTTGTCGGCTTTACGTAATCCAGTGCAAACTGCCATCCTAACTACTGATTCACATTTAATTAATGTTTATAATTTATTTTGTGTGATAGTTTACTAATTTGTTAGAATTTAGGTCATGGTTGATATGAATTTGAAATTATGTATAGTAAATGATAAATTCCATCCTAAATCAATGTAATATGGGCCTTTAATGTACAATACATCAATGATCATAAATCTCTAACATTTCCGGTTCAACATAAGATTCGTTATCGTTATCAAAAGAGTGGAAAAGCCATATCCACCGCAAGCATCTTCAGCATTACAAACAAAACCAACTGCAAAATTGAGAATGAGGACGAAGAACCATCTCTCATCATCACACTTTAACCAAATCCTAAACCAAAACTTTGATTCAATGAGGATCCCACCACCACAGCCACAACCTCTCAGCGGAAAGAAACAATCATAGCCAAAATCCCCCAGCCCAAAGCATCATCTCCAGAAACAGAAAAATCAGAACTTTACATGATGATGATGAAGGAAGAGTAGAAGCAGAAATAGAAGTAGACCAATATCAACTTAACACTACCTTGGCTTTCTATTCTATAGGGGAAGAAGAAGGAAAGAAAGAAAAAATGACACATACCAGCCAAAACCCACACTAATAAAGACTCTAACTTTCACCCATCACCAAAGGAAGAAGAACCAACTACGTACCCTGCAATTTCAAAGTTCAATAGAAGTTTCTCCAGCCCCTACAACCTTCCTTTCCACTAACCCTAGATGTAGAAACTACTACCACTACACTGCTAGCCTTTGTTCCTAATCCTACCCCTTCTCACAGTGTTTTCACAGCTACAAAACCATCCGACCCACCATGCTTCTTCTTCCTAATCTCCAAAACCTTTCGGTGCGAATTCGAGTGCAGCTCCATCGAAAAAGTCGGGCTGTTGGCCGGCCTGTACTCCGGCACCAGCCTCCCTGACTTGAACCTCACCCCGCAGGCATTGCACAGCGTCTTAGCACCCGAAGGGCCTGCCCGCCACTGCGGCGTCTTCTCAGAGCCACAATGCTGGCACTTCCTCCCAGCCGTCGACGACTTCCTGTCCCCTCCTCCCCTCTTTAACAACTTCTCGTGGTTCCACCAGTACTGCCGCGGGTCCTGTATGTCAGTCCGGCACTTCAATCGCCGCTTGCTCCTCCTCGCCTTCTTCACCGGAGCCTGCAGGCTCCGGCAGTAACTCATTATGAACCCAGAACCCAAATTGTGGCTGCACGTGGTGCTGTTCTCGAGTACCGAGACCGGGCTGTGCTGCTTCGGCAGGCTACCCGGGTGCTCGGATACAATGTCGACGAATGTCTCGAGCGCAGGGAACGCCTCCTTGTTGGAAATCCATTCCAATTCTTCCTCAGGGAATTCCTGAAAGAAACAGAGGTATTTTAGTTAAAGTTTGGGTAGGTAACGGTAATTTTCGGTCATGGGTTGGGAGTATTCTGGAATAAAGGAGAAAATAACGTGGCCTATAATAATGGAAAAGATTGGCAGTTGTCTTTTGGTGGACATTTATTGGATACACACTCAAAACTTGTGAGCAACAGCTCAACAAAGAATTCAGACCCACACTTGTGGAATTTACTCAAGTACCCTCACCTACGGACAAACCAATACGCGGTTGTAGTTGAAAAGTTGTGAGGGTCAGAAATGTCATTTCAGGAAAGGCCTTATTCCTAAACCAAACAAACCCCTTGGTTTGAAATTTTCGGGAATTGAAAATAATTATTATAAAAAAATACGTTTAACATTCAAAGAGTGACTCGGGCGAGTCACGATAAACTCGGACCCGTAACCCCCGAGTTCAACTAAAAAAACCTAGCCTTACTGTCGGCGCCCAAAAACTCCATCGCCGCACGGCGGAGCTCGGCCGGCCTACAACACAGAGAGAGTCGGGGAAAGCCCACAGCGAGGCGTTCAGTGGAAATCGAGGGGCGGGGGAACTTACTGTCAATGGGTTATCCGGGTCGGAAAAGTCGAAGGGGGAGGGTCCGACGCCATTCGGGTTAACGGAGGAGGAGCGGCGGCCGGGGTTTGAAGGTGTCTGTTCGTCGTCTTCTTCCCCTATGTCGGAAGCGAAGTTGAGGAAGTCGTCAATGGAACACGGCGCCGTTGCTGGGTCAAGATATTCCATCCGACGGAGAAAAACGACCACCGAGTGGGACTGGTTCCGGCGACGGTGAGAACTAAGTAGGTGGAGAGAGAGAGAGAGAACAGGTAAAGAGCAGAGAGCGGAACAATGGGGAAAAAAGAGGTTGAATGTGGGAGGATTGATTGTTATTGGAGAAGAGAATAAAGAAGGAGAGAGAGAGGAAAAAAAAAAGGAAGGAAACGAGGGGAAAAGTCTGCTTCTCTGTTTTGGCTTATATTATTATCGTTATCGCCGCGGCTTCGACGTTTTTGGGTGTGAACTCGCAAGTAGGGGTGTCCATTCGGGTTTGGTTTTCGGATTTACCTGAAACCGACTCGATTAGATATATTTTTTATTTTTTGAGTTTGGGTTTGTTTCGGGTTTGATTTTGCTTATCGGGTTTTCAGATTAGATCTGAAAACCTCCAAGGAATAGAACTTAGCCCATATTTGTTGGCATTCGGGTTTTCGGGTTTCGATTTTGCTTTAATCGAACCCGAACTCGATAAGAAATTTTTGGATTTTGGGTAACCGGAAATCGAAAGTCCTTATCGGGTTCGGGTTCGATTTCCAATTATTTCGGTTTCGGGTTTTTGATTTTTTCGGGTTTTGGTTTGGGTAACCGAACCTGACCCGAACTGACACCCCTACTGGCAAGGGATATGTGGATTTGTGATTTTTCAATTATTTGCAGGTAGAGTGTGCAATTGTCCGTTACGGTCGGACCAAATTATGAGATTACAATTTCGATATTGTATAATTAACAAGTTGTTGACTACTCAAACAGTCAAACTCATTATTTACTTGATCTTGATTGTAGAGTGTTTTAATGTTGTATATAAAACTGTATCGGTAATTTAACCACAAAATACTAGTATAGGAGGCTAAATTGATAGATGGTATTTTAAAGATACCGACGA